CATCTGCATATCATATTCATTTGTACCTGTTTTCAGGAAATAATGTTCGAAAAGTTACAAAATTGGGAATTAGATGAACAACTGCCGTTTAAAATTGTATTGTCCGACTTGGACGATATTAACGGAATTTTAGGATTTTCCATTACCACTTGTACTGAGGCAAATAAATGCACAACCGAGTATATGAATGGTGAGATTGAAATATTTTTGCAAGTGTTTAATGAGATTTTGAGGAATTTAGAGGACAAAGAGTTGGATTGTTTTAAGAAGAGGCTAATACTTGATAAAAAGAATGAATATGCTGATGATAATGTTAAAAAAGTAGTTGATAGAAAGTGGAATGAGATACTGAATGGAGAATACATTTTTGATAGATACGAGAAGGAAATGCTTGCAATAAAGAACATAACGATTGACGATCTAAAAAAATGTTTTACAAAGCACATAGAGAACGGAAGTAATTTTAGAAAATTAAGCATACATATAGTAGAAAATGATCCAGAAAAAATTGCAGTCGAAAAAGAAAATAGTGAGTATATAATTTTTTAAATTGAATTTTGGTTGATATCTATTTCTAATTCTATAACATTATTTTTCTGATTCTGTAATTCTGTTATTCTGTAATAACATTAGTTTTTGGTTTTCACTTTTTGTTATTGAATTATGTTTAAATTAGTCCAAATTGCTGAGACAATTAAAAATGTTAATTTTTATAGTTGAGAATCCTGAGGCAGAGCACTTTACTTTGGAATATATAAAGGACGATTGTCACATTGTTGATGTAGAAGACAATAAGAAATATCTTTATGCCTATCCTTTCAAACTAAATCGTAACCCTAATTAGCAGTAACACACATCACAGTTTTCCACAGAAGAATCCTGTCTTCAAAATATCTCTTGGTTGTGTAAGAATAGTATAGTATTGAAAATATTGAAAATAAAATAATAAATTGTATTGCCTTGTGAAAATAAAGTGTTTTATTTATTGATATTTAATATTAATCCTTGCATATAATTATAACAATTGAGAACTGTCGGATATTGATCCTAAGGAAACGCTACCTTATTTTTCGGAAATTATACAATACATTGTACTTTATTAATACTGATGTATTTAGATTAGTAGAGAAGTGAAATCCCGTAATGTATATATTTATGACTTATTTCTATGCAAAATTAGCTAAAAACGAATTTTATTTATTATATTAAAAATATTAATTGGAATTGTCAAATAGCTATTATTTAACATTATTTGTTAAAATATATTTTGATTATTAAAGATTTAAACAATTTTATGAACACATTAGTATAGATGAGAGTATTTGAATAATTTATTAACAATATTCATATTTAGTACATTTCATACTTAGCACAATTCTAAAATAGGTATATGAATTTATAAGTTGCTGAGTCAGATACTGAAATTGGTAAAAAATATTAGTCTAATAATTTTATTTTAAGTTACAATAGATTATCACATTAATTTGTAACAATATATACAGGATATAACAGGGCAACTGTATCAGGTTCATTTTTCAAAAATATGCATTTTTTTGAAAAATGTTCCAAATAAAAGTATCATTTTAAGTGACGCTTTAGACAGAAATATTAGTTTAAAGATCATTGTTAAAATAATGTGAAAATCACTTTAAAATTTAAAAATAGGAATTTCCATTAAAAAATTTTAAAGTATAATTTTTATTAGCCTAATATGGATCGCTCTGTTACATTCTGTATACGTATATTTTATCACATGACCTTTGTATAATATATAAAAATAATAAAAATAACATTTTTGTTATATTTACATTTCCTTATATTATAATAATGTACATATATATTGTGGATTACAATTTATGTATATATTTTAAAAGGTTATGTGTATATTTTTATATAAATAATTTTTAATTATTAAAAATTAGTAATTTATATCAACTAGTTTAAAATATTTTATGATACATTCTAATATTCTCAAAAATATTTATAATATTTATAAACTAAAAAAACATAATTTGAAAATTTTTAATAAAAATTAATTAAATTCCTGTATTATTAAACTTTAGTTAAAGTTAATATATATTGTTGTATATAAGTTAATTTACGTTTAAAAGATAAAGAAATTTTTCTGGAAAAATTATAAATAAAAATAAGATGCATCAAGACAAGATGTAAGGAATAATTTTAATCTTTTTTTACTTATTACTAATGTTCGTTACTTGCTAACATGTACTCGTCGTATCATAGGAACATCGTATATCAAGTTTAAGAAGGCATTTGTTATATGGACGAATGTTCTTATCCACGCAATAATTTTATAATTAATTTCTTTTAACAGTTGTGGCATGTTTTCTATTACTGGAGGAGGTTTTCTTCTAAAAAATGTATTAAGTTTAAATTTCCAAAACATATTAATTTGATTTTTAAATCTTATTTCTTAACATGTATACAGAAGTTTTATTAATTTTATTTACACGAATAATTAATTTTCTTTTATTATAAAATATAAACCATACGTTATAAATATTATTCAAAAATCTATCGCAATATATCACAAAATTAATCACCAAATCTTAATAAATACTTATACGTTTTTATGTAGCAATATCTTATTATGGCATATTTATTTAATACTTACTTTTCGCTATCTAATTGCTTCGTCTGATTTGTGTAAGTATACATGTAACATGCTGGATAAGAACTCGTAGTTTTTATTCGATGGAACTTCCCTGTTCCGATAGAGATCGATTTCTTCTTTGACACAGTGATCACATCCATCGATTCTTCTTCCCCATAAGTTACCTCGCCTTCTAGCACCGTCAAAGAAACATTCGTGAAATCGGTGGATATGTAGTTTTCCAAGTACATTCCTGGAAAATCGGCCACGAACAGTACATCTGTATAATTTGACCAAGTGTATACATGCTGTTGAATTTCATCCATTTTATGTCTGAAAATCATAAAAAACAGAATAGTTAACATAAAGAAATAAACACGTGGCCATAAGAGTGTGTTTTTAAATTAAATTTTAATATTTATAGGACAATACTTGCCAAAAAATATTTATCTTTTTAGTAAGCAAAAGCAATTTTTTTATTATTTCTGATTACTAAAAAATTATTTATAAGTGCAGAATCTATCGATATTTATATTAGCGGTATACGATATTTTTGGATAGAAGTACTACATTTCAGTGTTCAAAACTGCATATATGTATTTCCATCTTTAGTTTGTAAATATAATTTATTTGTATAAATTCCGAGTTTACACTGAATTTATCCCAAAGTTAATTTTAAAGTAAACGTACTACAAATTTTACTCGCTCCTGGAGGGTTAGCCATAAATTTTGAATAATTTTTCTTAATCTCTCTCGGCTGACTAACGTAGTTACCAATTAGCAACAATTAATAATTATATACTAAAAGTTAATAATTAATTAATAATTATTACTAATCATTTTTCATAATGTAATTAATTTATATTATTTTTATGACATATTTTTTTTAGCGAATATCAATACTATTATATTGTATAATAAATTAATTTAGAGACTGAAACAGATATACCTGTACGAACTATATTGCGTGAGTAACGGCATTAGAAACGAAACAGGTTTAAATGGATGCCAATCAACTGTCAACATATCGATGTTTGGATTAAATATTCTTTGTTGAAATCTGCCGTTTAGCGAACACCACACGTCTATGTAAACGCTTAAATTCGTAGACAATTTTATCCATTTTTCCATATCTTCAGAATAATGCTTGGTCCTCAATTCTTCTTTTCGACGCATCAGATTATTCTGAATTTATACATAAATAAATTCAATATTTAATAAATATAATGACATAAAAATGATTATTGACAGAAATATTATTGGAAACTTTAAGGTAGATATTTATTTATGACACTTTAAAACCTTTAAACATTGCGAATATTGTATCGCCATGTCTCCGTGCTTCATCCATCGATCATTTTGCACCCAAGCGACAGGATCTAAATACCGTACTTCGTCGTTTGCGTTATCGTGCACTTTAATTACTACGTGTATAGTGTCCCAGCTATAAACCATCATGTCCCAGGAATAACCATATAAACCAGGTACCCAATTGTTATATCCCTGAAGTTATATTTTTGTAATAAAAATATAATTATGCGACAATTTATATAAACTTAGAAAATCTTGTAATTAAAAACGTTTTACCTATTGCATATATTTTTGCAGAATTAATTTAATTGCAAAAATAAACATGTCAGCAGATTTAGAATTATTTTTTGTGTAAGCAATTTAATATTAAAAAATAGTAATTAATTACTTATTTTGAATATTTAAAGTACTGTTATTTAGTGCTTAATAAGTATTTAATCACTAAATTTTTTATAAGAGTAATATAACAATACTAGTATTAGTAGGTGGTACCTTTGATATAAAATGTGAGTATGGCAGAAAAAACTGCAGTAGAATATGACACAGCAATAGCGATGCTACAAACTTTTGTTTTCTCGTAGTTTTCGGTGATTGCTGAGCTATCCAATTTTTTTTACAAACATTGATCACTCCTTTTTTATTAAGTTTAATTGACTTTTTGAACGATTGCATATCGTTATCTTTTTCATCAGTTTCCTTTTCAGATTTTGATTTAACAAAATACTTTTTGTCTTTTTCCTTGTTCATTATTTTTTCTGAAAATAATTGTAAATATTTTAAACTTGTATTGAATTATTATCGTAAAAAAATATTATTTACCTTCATGCATTGTTTCATTATAAAAAATTTCATTTGAAGGCAATTTTAAGTAGTTGGGCTTCACAGCTTCTTTTGCTTGACTATCAGTCTCTTTTACGCTGTTTGCGTTAATTGAATTTGTGTTAGTCGATAAAATCTTTTGTTTCAGTTTAAAGTACAGCTCTAATTTACGTGGCCAATTTACACGGCAAAAGAGTGGCATCGTTGCTAGGCACACATACGGAAACATTCCTGAAAAGATCTTTTCTTAAACCTCAATATAATTAGTGCAACGAAAATCTTTGAATAGTCTTATCAATCCTTATCCAAAATTTTTTTTTAATTAATTAATTTTAAATAATAATTATCATTTGTTTTGAATAATAATTACCTATATTAAATAGTCTTGAGTTCATTAAATGAAAAGTTGTGCAGAAGACCATGGACGGTATACGTGTTTTCTCGAACAGCATCCAAAATCCAACGGACAGATCGAAAATAAAGCCAAACCAATGGACGATTAGAAAGTCAATCTGCTCAGTGGACAGAAATATTCTGAAAGAGACCGTTTTCTTTACTTGTTAGTCGAGAAATAATTCTGTTTTTTACATTGGATCTACGGGAGGGGGGAGGGAGAGTCAATCTTCTTTTTTTAAAAATATTTACAGCAAAGTATTATATATTTTTTCAATATTTCTAAAATGCTTAATCACAATTTTGATATTTTAAAATATTTTTAAATTTAAAAAATTGTTAGTTATATATATAAAAAACGTAAATTCTATTACATTATTTCTTTGTGTTAATCTAATTTTAAATAAAACGTTTTATAAATTTAATATATTTAAGTAATATTTTTTAATGTAATAATTTAAATAATAATTTAATATTTTATATTTGATATTAAAAAAAATTTTGTTTGTAGAACGTTAATGATTTTTTCCTTGACAAAGGAAAGATGCTTTTTGCACCTGCCAATGTTTTTGTAATAAGTTAAATTAGATTCTAATGTGAGTAAACATAATTTACTTTATTTACTAAATTGTACATACATCTTTTTATTAAATAAATTAGGCGTCAATTACTATCGAATTTGAAATGCAATTATGAATCAAAGCTGA